GCATTTACACCCAAGTAGCTTCAGTGTTTCTAGCAGGTAGTTTTGTGATGGCTTGGAAATCAAAGGGTTAAACTTGGTTATATTTTGTAATATATTTGAAATAAAAGTTGCATAAATAGTAAGCAGTTTTCAACAAAGTGTAACATCAGTCATCAAACAAACAGAAACAATTTTCATAAGTTCATGCTTCACTTTTCACTGAACCTTACTGAAGGTATGATTCACAAGAAGCGTCTCTTGCGGCTGGGCGATGTGACGGTCTGCACATGCACAGTAGGAAATTATTCAGCCGCAGTGTCTCTGGACATGCGGCCCTGGTCGACTGCCTACAAGACCAGTATAGCCGCACAGTCGCATCACTTCGAGAGGATACAACACTCGCATTTTCAAGCACAGAAGAAATTGTTTTAATTGAATTAGTGGCACATTCATCCTTCATTAGGTGCCTATTAATTAGGATGGAATTTAATCCCTCCTCCAATCTTGCTTTGAACAGGTCATGCGCAGATCTACACATATTTCCACCATTCTCGTTCAATATCAGGATGTAAAATTTCGTCTTCTTCCTCTTCGAGCATCAGTAGATGAAGAACACCGCTTTTATCCATGTGTTTCCCTCTCACTATCGGGAAGTAATTACACCAATCACACCAAATCTACCCGATTACAGCCGCGTCTTAGAAAATGGTGCAATCGTACAGCCGCTGCGGCTTGAGTTGTGCTGCGGAATCGCACAGCTCTAATTGCTTCTTGTGAATCATACCTTAAGTCTGCTCCTCATGCTCAAACTTTAAACCTGCTGCTAAGCATTTTCATTGCTCAAGATAAGATTCTTCCCTGCTGTCTTCTTTCATGCACAAGAATGGGAAGTGTTTTATTTCTCTTCACTTCTGCACAAAAACCGAGGGACCAAATTTACAAGATGAGTACAACTTATGCAATATGATACTATTACACTGAGCCAACTGGTGAGACTTGCCTGCATAGCATCCTCATCAGTGACATCATCACCAGCATAAATGATGCGGATACGTTCGCTCCAATCGAAACCAAATGCAGTGCGAAGGATGTAAATTGATGCCCGACCCTTGTTCCACTGCACAGGGGGTCTAGCCTCTACAGCACAGTGAGATGAACCGACCTTAAATCCGTGGCTTTCTATGAGTTTGCATGCCTGCGGAACAAGTTCAGCACGCACGCACGCGGGTGTCTCCCGATAATGAAATGTGAGAACAGCTCCTTTGTTCTCTACCCATGCTCCTTCTTTACATACCTGTAATTATATACCATTAATAGTTTCCTATTTGAAAGTACCATTATCAAATGTGAGAGCAGAGATTCTCTTGACAGCAAATATTAATATTATGGTCTCATGGAATATGATGCCATGTAGCTTGGTAGATAAGTACCTATGTTTCGGATATACCTGTTTCCATCTTCACAAAAGAGTAAGCCAGGCATGAAAAATATGATAAACAGGAGGATTTGAAAGGGGTTGTGAGCGAATCAGTTTCTCTATCATAACGCTGTTTAAAACCCACTGATAATTTCCCGTTTCAGGGTCTTCTTCCTCCTTTCTTTTCCTTTTCCACCCACTTCCCTCCTTTCCTCCCATTCCTTTTGCTACCTGGTTCTTATGATTCATTTTTTTACCAGCAATTTTTATGATTACCAATTCCTGCTTTGGTCACTTTTGTAACCTGAAGATAGAGGCAGCAGGCTCATCTGAAACACTGGTAAGCATCTATTGACTATACTGGACCCTCCACTTAATTTTCCTTAATCTAAGGTGTTCAGTCATCTTGTGCTCAGTTTCAATGATGCCAAGACAATAATCTCAATGTTAAATATCCTCCATAAAATTTTTCATAAGTCTGCTGTTTAAATCCATTGATCCCAAAAAAAATCTTAAATGGGGGCTTCACTGTACATGGGACCACATCCCAGAAGACACTAATCTTCATAGTCAGTGCTATCAAAAACTTAAAGCTCAAAACGTTACCACTAACCCTACAAGACGACAGTGAAATTTCTGACAGCAAAGACTTTTCTGAGAGTCAAATTTTTCAGTGCTTAAACATACAAAGTTTCAGTTTCTGAGAGTGAAACTGAGCCTACTGATCCTGTCATTTCTAGAGTTAAAAACCTTCCTTTGAAACACACCTGATCCTGTAGACTTTTAAGAAGATCTCGAACTTTTCCTTCCAGTTCGGCAGGGATAGGATGCACAAACTTTGTCCCATCTGGATGAATGATTTCTAAGCCATGATTTCCAGCATATGTTATGCCCTCTATCCCAACCTGCAAGTAAGAAGCATGACCCTATGAATGCCAACCTGACAACATGAAGATCTGTATAAACTTTTTGATTTATGTTATGAAAATTCCCAGAGTGTTTTGCCTTATACCTCAGTATTATTATCAAACCTCCTTCCAAGACTTTGTACACATTGCTCCCATGAATTCTACATGCCTTGCCAATCTCATCCCTCCTGAGCTCATCATTCTAATATACCTAAAGAGAGCAAGAATTTGATATTGTAGAAAATATAATACCTTTGGAATGCCAATATATATTTTTTTTTTTGCTAGTGGGGTGGGACTACGTCCCTTGTACTGCGGCTGCTTCTGGCCTATTGTACCAGCCCCAGATGATAGGTGAGGGTGATTGTGGAGCAATTGGTGGAATGAAGATTGGCAGAGGAAACCGAAATACTTGGAGAAAACCTGTTCCAGCGCCACTTTGTCCACGACAAATCCCACTTGACCAGATCCAGGATCAAACCCGGGCAGCCACAGTGGGAAGCCAGCAACTAACTGCTTGAGTTATGGCGCGACCAATGCCAATATAAGAGACACCTAACAGTTATGACTAAAAGAGTGAAGTGGATATATAAAAGTAACATAGGGCAG